AAGTTTTGTACTTTAAGAGCATTTGGTTATCGAGTTGCAAGGTCTCTGGTTGTTAAGATGGGCCCCTTAACAATTGGTATGACAGTGATTTGAGCCAAGTTGTGTCTTGAGTACGTTTCTGTAAATTGACATTCAAACGAGTCTAAAGACTCATTCCAATGCATTCTTTCAGGAATTGGTGGTAGCGATAGGGCGGTTCAAAGAAACTCGAAAGGGCGCGCACCGGGGATAGCCGGGCAAGCCAATCGGGGGATATCAAGATCGCCAAAAATGCGAGGTAGGGGCCACCAAGGCCAACGAACACAAGTTGCGATGGCTGATCACTATGTGACTGAATTTGAGTCGTGGAACTTGGAGGATGACTCAACTTATCACCCTGAAAGTGAGTCAGATGAAACTTCTTTTGAGGGAAACAGTGGAAAGGATATACATAGTATTCCTCCTGACCAGATTAGTGAGATGTACCGATGGTACTAGCGTGAAAGGGAAAGACAACGACAGAGATCCCATGTGGGACATGTCAGAGACGAGACCTCTCGCAGGAGGGTCAGAGTGCTCATAGAGCACAGGTTAGGACAGTCAGAGATTCTGATGGCGAAGGACCATTCTTTAAGATCTCAAAGTACCTCAAAGAGGCTAGGGCCTTGAGGTGCAAACCATTGATGGGACGGGGGATATATCAGAAGCAGCCGAGTGGATAAAAAGGTTAAATGATGCAGCTGATGACATGCAAGTGGTCCCTGAACGAAAGTTAAGGGTAGCCACTAGATTATTGGAGGGTTTAGCTTCTACTTGGTGGGAAGGCACCAAGGGCAAGTTTGATGGGGTTGTCACGTGGGACAACTTTGAGCAAGCATTCTATGAGCAGTTTTACACCTCTTTCGAAGTAAATCGAAAGAGGAGGGAATATACCAATCTCAAACAAGGCAATGAGTTTACGGTGAAGCAATTGGAGCAAAGGTTCAGACATCTGGCAAAGTTCTTGCCTGAGTATGCCGCCAATGAGGATCGAATGGCAAACCATTTTTGGAATGAACTCAATTTGGAAATACGCGAAAGGGCGACCTACCAATTCAACATGACCTTCAGTCAGGTAGTAACCCAGGGTCTTCAGGGGGAGGAGATTTGGGAGGAAAGACAAGCGGGGATGCTAAGGAAGCACAAGAAAAAGATCAGGTGATCAATCATCCTCCGCGACGAGAGAGGAAGTATGAACTTCAGAGCAAGGGGGACTCTAACAAGTTAGTTCCATTTTTCAGTGAGAGCCAGGACTTGGTGAGTCAAAGCTCAGGCACTCGGGGCACGGGAGCACCCAAATGTGAGAATTGTAAGCGAAGGCACTACGGGAGATGTCGAGATCCATCTAGATGTTACTTTTGTGGAGAAACGGGTCACATCAAGGTCCTTTGTCCTCACTCAACGTACACATGAAGGAACATTAAGAGCTAGAGGAGGGGCCATGGGGGTTGAAAACCCAACTAGAGTTGCCTCAAACATTGTACCTTCTACAAGTTAATGGTGAACTCGCTCGTGAAGGCCGGAAATGGCGGGAGCCATTTGTTGGGCCCGACTATGGCATAAGGTATTATTAAATTAAACCTTAATTTCCATAAATATTTTTATTTTCGAAATTGTTAGCTTCAGATAATGAAGGGAGAAATGTTTCTCAAGGTTCAGACGTTAATTTCGGGGACGAAATTCCTGTAAGGTGGGGTGAACTTGTAACACCGGACCCGAATTTTACTGTGAGAAATTTTTTCATCAAGTACTGGGTTAAAGAAGGTAAATCAAGACTAAGAGTAGTCTTGATAAATGACAAAGTAAATTTTTGTCTTAAATTAATAAAGGGTTATTAATTTAGACGTGGAACCACTCATGATATTCTAAGTTTATTTATAAAATATTAATGTTTACCAAAATGATACTATTATGATGGTAGGGATGGGTCATGGACCCCAATGATATAAAGAACGACAACTAGACGGCCAAGCGGGCCGGGGTCACTATTTTTAAAATTTTAAAAATAGTCACGGACTTAGTCTCGGATATGTCCGTGACTAAAGTGGTCAATGGCGGCCCTGACACCTCGCCTTCCGCATGGCTGACAACGGATATACGAAGGGTCTAGTCACGGACTAGTCCGTGACTAAGTCCGTGACTAGAAAATAATATATAAGCGGGACTTAGGTTTTTTTTCTCTTACGCTTCCCTATTCCTCCTTCTCTATTCTCTTTTCCTGTTCTTCTTCCTACTCGCTCCTGGGCCGCCGCCGCCGTCTCCAACGCCGCCGCCTCCAGCACCGCCGTTCTCTACCGTCCGCCGCCTTCCACCGCCTTCCTCTGCAATCCGGTTAAGGTTATGTCTCTACTTTATTTTTTTTCGTATTTTAATAATAAATTTTAATTGTTTTAAAATGTTAAACCATGCATGTTTTGTTGTTATTTTCCGAACATACCCGAATGCATGATGTATGTAGTTAAATGCATATTTTAATCTTTTCTATTAAATTGTTTATGCATGAGTTTTTCAATTTTTGTAATGTGTATGAGTGAATTTATGTAATATTTAATTCCGCGTTTCAAAATAATTAAAAATCATATTACAATTTTTTTAAAATAAATTGTAAAAATTCTTTTCAAATATTGTTTTAAAACTATTTTAAAATAGTTAAATTAATAGTTATAAAAATTTTAATTTAATTTTTTTTTTTAAATTAAAAAAAAAAGTCACGGACTAATTCCGTGACTAAATTAGTCCGGAATTCTCTTTTAAAACAAATTAATTTTTTTTTAAAATTAAAATAATTAGTCACAGATTCTGACCGTGACTAATTTGAAAAATTTGAATTCGAAACCTGAAAATTTAAAAATTTGAATTTTGAATTTTGAAAAATTAGTCACGGATTATGACCGTGACTATTTTGAAAAATTTAAATTCGAAGTCTGAAAATTTAAAAATTTGAATTTTGAATTTTTAGTCACGGATTCTGACCGTGACTAATTTGAAAATTTTGAATTCGAAGTCTGAAAATTTAAAATTTTGAATTTTGAATTTTTAGACACGAACAACATCCGTGACTAAATTTAATTTGCCTGGCCGGAAAAGTACTCCGGTGACACTGTAGTCACGGAAATGGGACGTGACTAGTCCGTGACTACATGTAGTCACGGACAATGGTCCGTGACTAAAGTTAGTCACGCCTGAGAAGTCTCGGATTTTGTCCGTGACTAAGTCCGTGACTAAAGGAGTTAGTCACGGATTTTTTACACTACGATCCGTGACTTAGTCCGTGACTAAAACGCGGATTTTTTGTAGTGATTTTAGGATTTAAAATTTTAATGCACCATCAATTAATCTTGGAGGTACGTAGCACCTCAAATTTGTGACTCACCATCATGAGATGTCGTCCCATAATTAATCAATTTATAAAATTAAGCCAAGTATCATGCCAAGTGTAAAAATTTAAGAAAGGTGGCATTAGAGGATTTCAAGAAGGGACAAAGGGTCTCAATTTCATCCTATAAATAGGATCCTAGCTTCCCATTCTAAAATCACACTCGGCCTTGCAAATCGTAATATTAGGAGGAAAGTGAAAAACTGTTTACTTTAACATCTACTCCGTATTATTTTCAGGTCAGACGTTCCCGCCCCGTTCAGATGAACATTGTATAAATTAAACTAGAGATATCTTATTTGTTTTAAGACTTTATTCTTTGAATCTGTAGAATTATTATTCTCAATCAATCGTAATATATATAGCTTGTTAAAATTATCTGAATATATATACCTGGTCAATACGTTATCTAATTATCTGCACATAATACGCACACATGAACTAAGCGCACACATCAGTATTTTATTACACTAAGTATAATGGAGATAATACCTTTATGAACTGCAGTTACTATTTTGTTACGTAAGCATGCTTTTCATATACCTTTATGACACATACTTATATATATACACATAATACGTTTCATATACATGCATGGAGATAATTCTGTTTTAGAGAAATTAGTGTTCTCCTGTTTAGTGTACTCCGTACACTCCTGAAATCTTTTTAGAACACTACTATTACTCTTCTGTTAAGGATCAGGTCTCTTCAGTGATCTCATATTTTCTGTTCAGCTCCCTTCTGCCAGGGATTGGTACGTGTAGTTCCGGCAATTACGTTTCCATATCCTTTCTGGGTAATGTGGGTACAGACTCGAGACTATATTCCTTACCGTTAGTATTCCGCTGTCTAGGTCCAGTTTCTTGAGTTTAAGGCTAATTAAATTAATCTGTCTTATTCATTCTAAAAACTTTAATTATCTGATAATCGGATATCTGAACTTGTTCTGTTTTGTATGTGAAAATTCTGAAATACATGAAAGTTTACCCAGTTCACTCCGGTATGTTTATTTGTTCTAATGATCAAGTGCTAATTATGATATGTCGTTATATGCTTCAATGATATGTCGTTATATGCTTCCATGTGTTATATGTGTTATTATCATACCACTCAGCACATTGTTGAGCGGGTAGTTGTTTGTTTTCCTACGCGTAGGTCAAGCCCAAGATCAACTTGAAGCACCAGGATGGAGGGAGGCATAGGACTCACATGCATATGGTGTACTTTGGGGTTCTTTAAAGTATGGAATGTGTATTTTGAAATAAACTTTAAATTATAATTTTGATATTTTGTAAGAACCTTCCGCTGCAGTTAAATGAATTTTGTGACGTTGACGTTATGCCTGTTTAATAAATTCGTACTTATTTTGGCCTATGAAAGTCCTTAAATAAACATGTAAACATGTTTTGATTTTTGCCTCGTGACACACCGCTCGGGTTGGTGGGGTCGATCCGGGTGGGGTGTTACAGTTACTTATAACAAACAATCATATGAGTTGAGTGTTAGGAAACAGCAGCAGAAGTTTAAAATTTTCCCAAACAGATATTCTCTGATTATGCCAAAACAATGAATATAACAATAATAACAGATTTGAGTTAGAACTTACAAATCTTCCAGCCTAGCGGTAATAACCTTTGACCTTAGATATCCTCGTGATTTCTCCTTACCGAAAGAACGGTTAGATCTCCCATAGAGAAAGACTAGGAAATCTCATGGAAATAAATGAGTAATACTGAATCTTGAAAACTGGTCTAATAAATATGAAGGAGGAGGATGTATTTATACTAGTTCCATACTAGTTTCTCAATCACAATGAAAGTCTTACTCGTTAATGAGTTCTGGTCTAACCAGGATAAATACTTATCATTATAATTTAATCAATCAAATAAATATATTAGTTAAACAATAACATTAAGGAAGAAGAGGGGCTACACGTATGCCACCTCTCTCCATTCCTTATTTAAATTAAAAGGAATCTTTATTATTTAAAATACATCTTAATTAAGTATAATAAATCTAATTTATCACACTGTTAAGGTCCGGGGTTCCATCCTAAAAGGTCAACCTGTCAGGAGGAGTAGCCCGAAGCTTAATATAGCACTCTAATGCTTCTCAATTTTCCGGTGTGGGACATTTAACACCCCTTCTCACGACCAGACACTTCGTCTTGTTCGTGTCGTCATTCATTTTTTCATGGGTTCGTCATTTTTTTGTCATGTCTTCAGTTTTTCATAAGGGGTCGCACACCATGAATCGATTTGGCTCTGATACCATACCGCCACCACCGGACTGCTGCCGCTACCAACACCCTGCCCCGCCACCGACGGACTGCCGTTGTTGCCCAAGGGAACTAGGGGGGCAATAATTAATTACAATAGGGGTAATTAGGGGTAAAAATTAATGTTTACTCCTATTTGAAGAATTTTAGAAGTTGACTCCTATTTAGGGAAATGTGGTATGTTTTACTCCTATTGGGAGCAATTTCTCGAGACATAAATAATACGATATAGAATACATTTTTTGGAATATTCTTCTATTATAGTATCTGCTTACGTTAATGTACGTTAATGTCTTCTACAGAATACTTTAAGTGTGTGCTTTGTGATAATATTCGTCACTCCTCCCAGATATAGTTGTCTCGTCTCCATGGACTTCTGCTGAGTATTATTATTATCCCCAATTGCCCAACTTGAGGCAGCTGGCTGCCGATTCAATCACACGTCAGATACAGCTTCACACGTACCTTTGATCGAACTGTCACCTCCCATCATGTTCCAATCCTTAATCTCCGATCCTTACTTTCTTCACAATTCATTGTATCCACCCATTCTAACTAAGATTTCAAGAGAAATAGACACTAATATCAGTATCTAATCATGATTGTAAGCTAAGTATTCGTGTTCCACACGAGAAGACTTCTAGTAATCAAATGGGAAAGTGAAACTTGTACCTATTTTTATGTTGCATTTTATACGTGTACAATGGCGGAGCACGATATAAAAAAGGTTGAATCTATACGTAGCTAGATGGAATAAATTCTAGTTTAAATGAGACATAATTAAAGAATTATAAGTTTGATACTCCGTATATACTATGTGGAATAAACACTACTTTAAATGCTAACCAATGAATAAATAAGATGTTATTTTTAAAATTTAGGAATGTAAATTTTGTTATGAATCAAATTTCATCTATTTCAAGTTTTCAAGTTTAGATGTTGCTGATTTTCAAAAGTCATAACTTAACTCGTAATAAGTTATTAGAACCATAATATATCATATCAAAGGTATTTCAGAGTTCTGAATTTTCAAATTTTCAGAGGTTCGGTTGTCCCCCTACCCCTATATGTCAAGTTAGGTCATAGAAATCGTGTTTGCGTGAAAAAATTTATCTGAATGTCGGTCAAATGCTTATGCCATACAGACACCCGATAAAATTTATTTATTATTTATGTTGCACTCTATGGAATTGCATTATGTTGACAAAAATAAGCAAGTGTGTACATTCATAAATCATTGAATTGTGTAACTTGTTGGAAAAATGTGTTAAAAAATGCATTAAATGGTCATTTTGGGGCAATATTTTGAGTGGGGTCCACTTCCAATTTGGGTCGGGTCAAAGTGGTTTCGGATTGTCCTTGCTATGAGCTACAATTCGATATATAGTACACTCAAAACGGATAACGGGTGAATGAGAAATTGATTCTCGAAGTTTACCCGTTGGAATGGAAAAACTGGGAAAAAGGATGAGTTTCTAGTGTGTTAATTTCCCACACCGGAAAACCAAGGGATTTGAAACCCCTTATAAAGGGAAGCCTCTTTTAAGGAGTTAATATTCCTAAGGTGAAAGGCTCTCTTTGCGCGCAGGGGGTGCAAATCAAATCCCGAAAATGAAGAAGAAAAATCGCGATTTGCGTGCGCGGGCGACCTACGGACTCGAATGTCGTCCAAAAAATCTATCTCCCAAAAAATCTATCTCCCAAAGATACGATTTAATTTTTGTTTCTTCCCATAACGTTTTATTTTTTCTCAGAACTGCTGCTCGGACAGAACATTTCTTCCGCAACAGAACTGCTCAGACAGAAGTCCTCTGCTGCGGAGCACGGACAGAAGACCTGGGGGTGTTCTGTTCTGGTCACGCACCAGAACAGTTCTGATCCATTACAGCAGTTAATGTCCAACGTTCTTATCTTTTAATGCGTCTTTAAATGGATAGTTTTACGACATATTAATGCCCAACGTGCTGGTCATTTATGTCCAACGTTCAGGTCCATTAAAGGTCACTTAACACACAACAAATCCTCCTATAAATTGGCTAGCAGGTGGTTTACAACAATACACATTTCACAAACGAACTCACGTATTTCTGAGCTCTGAAAAACACCTCTAGCATTCCGAAAATTCCCTTGTGTTCAGACTTTGTTCCAGTTCGCCGGAACTTTCATTTGTGTGCTCAAACGATTGTTTGTTAGCCACCGACCACCGTATAATGGGAAACGGTCGTTGCAACGCTCCTTGCACCGTGGGAGGTAACGAATACGTTTTAAGGACATCGTGCGTAGCACGAGCTCTGACTATTTTTTGCTCCATCTTATTTCTGTTTTTTTGTCATTTTAATTAATTTATTTTAATTAATTTTCTTTATTTTCCGAAACACACCCAACATAACTTTATTTCTAACAAAATCCAATTGTGTTTTTTATTGTGTAAATTATTAAACAAAAACGTTCTATAATCTATATGAAGGATTTTGAAAAAAAATAGTTATAAATATTTCCGTTTGTGTTTTTTGTTTTGTTTTTTTTATGAAGGATTTTGAAGGAGGCTACGCAATGGGTACAGTATAAAGAGAGTGTGTACATAAATAGTTGCTGTATTAAATATCTTCCTCTTCTACAATGTACGTCCGGTCCCTATAAATACTAGCTGCCACAAACCCAAACTACATATGTCCCACAACAACACACACAATGATATCTCTTCTACATATAGATATTCAAGAAAAACAAAAGAAGATCATACCGTTATAACTCCATTGTACTAATTATAATCAATTAGTGTGCATGATCGATCTAATTGATTAATTAACAGTTTGCATCATATCCTAGAGATTGAGATACAATGGAGAAAGATGGTTGTAGTAAGGATATTGAAGGCTGTAAGGACGGATTGGAGGTTCCATTCCTTCATGACTATTCATCAAAGATGGATGAGAACAATAAAGGGTCTGTCTCCATGGTGGTTCTCAGCACTTGTGTTGCTGTTTGCGGCTCTTTTGAATTTGGTTCTTGTGTGAGTATTTCTTTCCTCTTTCTTCTTCTTGCTTAATTAATTTTTCTTAATATCTTTCTTAAAATTTGGGTTTTTTAGAGCACTCTCATACTAAATTTACTTGATTGTATAGAGACATAATAGAGATTTACATACATATTTTTTTTTATTTTTTTTTTATTTTTAGATTTACATACATATATTCATGTAGTTATATCTCGAGAGAATTTGACTTTACCCCCATGTTTTGAGCAATATTAAACTTTGTAACCCAAAGTCTTTAAACTTTGCACCTCACTCCATAATTGTTGAGCTGATGGGGTGCAAATATTAATGATTTTCATAATGGGGTGTAAAGTCTAATATTGCCCAAAGTGTGAAAGGTGCAAAGTCTAATAATATCGCCCAAAATGTGAGGGGGCAAAGTCAAATTCTCTCTTATATCTCTCTAATAATGTGACACTTTTGATACAATTTGAGAAAGTTAGATCCCCAGTGGGAGTAAGACCATTATTTTCTTAAGTAAAAATGTCATTATTTTCAATCTACCATGATGTGGCGTTAGCGATGTCTTCATACACTGGTCAGTTCTATGTCTCACACGGGGTAGCTCTGAGCTATTGATTTGGGTATCTTGTCACTTCCATTTTACAAATAAAAAAATGGATTTTTTTATTAATCTATTGAATAGATTGTCAAAATCATAAATTTTGATCGAATCGGTGGACGGTTTTAAAAATCGAATCGTAAAATCGAATCACAAATCGTAAGATTTTATGAAATATAAGTAAATAAATATCTAAAATATATTAGACAACAAATTAAGACCAAGTAAGTCATACGGAGTATTTGGAAAGCATACATACTTGGAAATGTTTTAGAAGTTTATCCACGGTTCATTCTTATTTTTAGGGGTGGGCACGGTCCGGTCCAATTTTTGGCCGAACCCGTACCGTTACTATTGAAACGGTTCGGTACGGTTCGGTCTTAGACCCAAACCCGTTCGGTACGGTCCATTTTCAAACGGGACGGTACCATGCCATACCAATACCAAACAATGCCACTTTTTCCAGGTGTTTAAGAAAAAATTAAAGTTTAGTCATCCTCCAAAAAATCCACACAATTTATCAATTTTCATATATCATACTACCTTCGTTCCAAATTGATTTGCAAAGTCAATCTTTTTTGGTCAAACAATTTCTTTTTATTCACTTAATTAGAATTTCACTTTTAATTATATTCTAATGTGGCCTTTCAAAGAAACTACTCCGTACTTCGTATATTTTAATTTGGATTTTGCAACTTTAGAGAGATTTTAATGTGGTTTCTAAATATGTAACTTTTAATTATTAAAAATTGTATTAATTATCAAGAACTTAACATTAACTTTGACAAAAAAATGTTGGCTTTGCAAATCAATTTGGGACGGATGAGGTAATTAATATATTTTAGATAAACTATAGTAGTA